TGCGGTGGCCGCATCGGGCAAGCGCAAGCGCGCGTCGTCGGCAGCCGACCCCAATCTTTCGCCGATCAAGGCGCTCAAGACGATCAACGGCGCGCGTGGAGCCGCCGCCTCCGGCGACGGCGACGATGATGACGACGACGACGGTCCGACCCAGGGCTACCGGCCGCCGCTGACGCCGGCGCACTGACGCGGGGATGTAAATGTACCGAGTGTCGGGGATGTACAGCTCAGCTCGTGCGTTTGTTAGGCAGGTTGCTAGCTGATGACGCAGCAGCCACCGTTCTTGGCGGTGCCGTTGTTGGCGTCCGAGTCTGCAGGTGGCGGGGTGGGCGAGGCGGCAGCAGCAGCCGGCGTCCCATCAGCGGGAGCACCAGTCGCGTCGGCGGCGTCGCAGTTCTTGCGCGGAGTGCCTGGGGCATGAGAGGAGACGTCCGACATGGACTCGAGCTCGATGGGGCCGTCCTGCGGGCCAGAGACGGCGCCGCCATCACGGGGCGAGCACGAGCCCCCGGCCTCGTGGATCGGCTGCAGATGGATGTCCGAGTAGTCGATGGCGGCGGAGCGGCGGGTAGAGCCGGCGCTGGGCGCGACGGCGACGCCGACGAGCGGCCCACCGAGCTGCAAACCGGCGCCCGAGTGCGAGGCAGTGGGCATGGCCTCGAGCGAGGCAAAGTCGTCCGCAAAACGTGAGGTGGACGACTCAAAGGCGCCGGTGCTGGCGAGCGAGGTCTGAAACTGGACGAAGGAGGCATTCGATGAGGTCGAAGACATGAGGGTGCGCGAGGAGACGGCGAGCGAGTCGTTGCCTGGAAGCTGGTAGGCCGGAGCGTAGCCAGAGCCGGCGGTGGGACCGCTGGGCGGGTGGCGGCCAACCGAGGCAGCGGCTGCGGGCGGGAACTTTGCGACGTTGCCCATGGCGGGAGTGGATGCCATTTTTGCGTCTGCGGCGGCGGCGTTGGCGGCGGCGTTGGCAGCGGGCGCGGCGTCTGCAGCGCCTGCCACCCGGCCACCGGGCAGGAGGACCTCGCCTCCGGCGGCGGCGGCACCGGCATCGAGATGGTTGGACGAGTTGAGGTCGAGAGTGGTGGTATCGCCCGAGCGGTCGGTGTACTGCGTTCGGCGCTCCCAGTCGTATGGCTCGTCGGGTGAGATGCGGAGACGCTTGCACATTTTGCGAATGAGCGAGCAAAGGCGGTCGTAGTCGGGCTCGTCGGCGTAGTCGAGCGAGTCGAGATGGCCGGAAAAGGCAAGGAACTCGAGTGGGAGGTTAGAGAGGAGCTCGGACCAGCGGATCTTGAGCTTCATCTGGCCGATCTCCTCCTTGGCGCGGATACGGCGCCAGGGGAGCGAGCCCTTCATAAACTCGATGCAAACGTAGAGAAGCGAGTAGAGGTCGTCGCGGCGGCCGAGCTCGCGACCGAGATGCGAGTTGATCGAGGCGTAGCGGGCGGTGCCGCGGAAGCCGGTTGTCTCGCGTGGCGGGCGAACCTGGCCGTTGGGGAGCAGGTAGCGGCGGGCGAGGCCAAAGTCGATAATATAGCACTGGTGGGCGGTGTCGCGGTCGCGGCCCATGGCAAAGTTGGAGCTCTTGATGTCGCGATGAAGGTAGCCCTGCTCGTGGATGGCTTGAATGCCGCGGATGAGTTGCAGGGTGAGGCGGGCGGTGGTTGCGATGGAGAACTTGCCGCCCATCTTGCGCCGGAGGTCCGACAGGTTCTCACCAAGCAAGTCCATGACCACGTAGTTGACGTTGGCGTGGCGGCCGCAGTAGATGAACCGACAAAACGCAGGGTTCCCCTGCATCTTCTTGATCACTGCAACCTCGAGCTTGAGCACCTGTTTCTTGGAGTTGGCCTCCTCCGACTTGATGGCCACCAGCTCTTGCGAGAGCACGTCCATGGCTCGGTAGATCTCGCCTGTACACGCAAGAAGAAAGAGCATACCATCGGGATGCGGAGACCAACAAGTCAAGCCCATGTTCCCCATGGAATCAACAAAGACGGCCACAACCATTCCGAGCGCCACAGCATACGCCCGCCCGACAGACCGGACCACATCGTCGGGGAAGACAACAGCCCATGCAGCATACCACCAGGCAGAGGTAAGTCGTTCCACCATGAGCCTCTAAAAAAACCTCTACTTCCTTCCTTCTCTGTCCCCAGGGCGTGTTCGCTCTTGCCAAGGCCCGCCGTCGGGAGGCTCGCGCCCCGTTCAGGCGAAAATTGCCGTCGGTCGGCGGTGGCGAGCCTGCGACGCGTGGCCGACTCCTTGCTCAGCGTTGCAAGGGGTGTTTCCCCCTGTGTGGAGGACTACGGGGGAGTCTGGTGCAGAGTAACAAGTCAAAGCTATGTGGGCCATGCTCTGCCCAGCCATTGTCGCAGGCATATGTCCATGGCTACCTCACAGCCGTTGGCATGGGCGTGGTGGTGACGGCGGCCTGGGCGACGGTGGCGACATTGGACAGAGGCAGGGCAAGGGCCGAACAATGGCGCAAGACACAAGACTAATGTAAAAATGATTGAAGACCACGAGGTGCCACTCGAGGCCATGACCGACCGGGAGGGGGGGGGGGGGGGGGGGGGGGGATGCTGGGAAACGTACCGAAGGCGCCTTGGCCAATCTTATCAATGACCTTCCACCGCTGACGGAGTAGCGCAGAAGGTGCCAGCAGTGGCGCCTTGCGCTCCTCCATGCCCATCGCTTGCATCGCGGTGGTGGAGCGAGGTGTTGCCACGCCGGACTCAGTGCGGCAAGAGTGCGCGTTTGGGAGGACAACAAACGTTGCGAGGGAAAGCGGGTGAAAAAAAAATTGGTGCGGGGGTATTCGCACCTCCTGCACTACCCAACTATTTTTTACCACACCCAAGTGGTCACATAAAAACTCGCCGCTGCGAACCTGCCACTACTTCGACGAGCCTTGTTCGACTCGCTCTCTGTCACGAACCTGGCCACCTGCCACGGACGCGCTTCTCTGGTCGACAACTGGCATCAGCGGCAGCATGGAAGTTGCCGTTGCGGCTGTTTGCTCGACGACACCGGAAGTCACCGTAGGCGGTGCAGTCTCTATCCTGGCATCACCATCGCCGTCACCATCACCATCGCCAGCCAAGGGCGAGCCGACGCCGAGCCGAGGCATGTCAGCCTCTTAACACGTGCCAAGTTCGCATGTTGTGACGGCTCGGAGACGGCCAAGGTGGGCAGCTGGGTCGTAGCCACGGGAGGCGGGGAACGGGCCACTTGACTGTTACGCTTGGACCAGGACTATTCGTGGACAGGGGAGCACATCTCACCTCCTCTGCTTGACCAAGGCCGCCTCCGCTGCACCTGCCCGTCCACTTGTGGTCAAGAAGCGTGCCGAGTCTGAGCCGATGCCGATAGAAGCATGTGTTGGGCGCAAAGGCGGGCGTGATGGCCGCGGTAGCGGCGATGGCGATGGCGTCGAGGGCCAGTCGAAGGCGCACAAGGCGATGCGAAAAAGAAGGGGGAAGAAGGGGAAGCGGGAGCGGGGCTGGCGAGGAGGAGGAGGTGGTGGTGGTGATGGTGATGGTGATGGTGATGGTGCGTCGCGATCAGGGTCGAGCCGCAGGCGTGGAAGGGGACGGGGACAAGGGCGGGGCCGGAGTCGGGGTCGTGGCCGGAGTAGGGAGCGGGGGCGGGGTCGTCGGGGACGAGGACGGGGGCGGGGTCAGAGGCGGGGTCGGCGCCCGCTTCAGCAACAGATCGAGCCCGATGCGGGCTTTCGCCCTGCTCCGCCGCTCCGCCACGAGCTGCGGGCGGAACTGAGCGGATACTCGGACACGATGTGGGACAACTGTGTATGGGACGCGCTGTTTGCACCGCCAGAGATGGTGGGCACAAGCCCGATTGCTATCGTCAAGCCGCCACCTACTGCGGCCGTCTGCCTTTTGTGGGCAGAACCGGACGTGATGAGCGAGTCGCTGCGCGCTGCGGAGCTCCCGGCGCATGACTTGCTGGACACGCTATTTGGCGATATGGCTGCGATTTGCAGAGCGTCGTTTGTGGCGCGCGAGCGTGGCAAGGGCGGAGCTCGCATCTTGTATCTCGAGCTTGGTTCGCCATGGGAAGCTGCCGCTTTCCGGGCTGTCGTTCACAACACGCTCGTATCGGAGCTTTCCTGTGCGCCGCTGGCAGTCGAGACTGTCGACGTTCTGCTGGCTTCAGATGAGCTCGAGTGCATTGATGAGGCGCTCGCACCGACAATGACGCCGGTGGGGATGGTGCCCGACTATGCTCTTGCTGCAACGATCGAGGTCGGTCCGCACGTTACGACCGGCCTCGCAGAGCCGTTTCGCGCGACACGAACCGAGGTGATCGCCTGGGCGCATGCGCTCCGCGGCGATCCGGCGACGGCGCCTGTGCACGAAAGCGGCATTCACGAGCTGGTCGAGGCAGAGACCGAGCCCGACGCCGCGAGCGCCGCACACGCGCCGCTGCTGCGGCTCCCACAGGAGCTGTTGGTGGCAATCCTCGTCCACACCAACGCACGGACCGTCATCGCACTGGCGGGCACCTGTCGGACAGGTCGCCGCGTGGCGGCCGATCCGTATCTCTGGCGGCAGCTTTTGTCAGTACGCTCATCCCGCAGTCGATGCGGGCGCGGTTCCGCTCGCTGGCAGTGGTGTACAACGCATCGGTGGCGACCCGTTGGCGGGCACTCTACGTTGCAAGCTACACCTGGATGCATGCTCTTTCGTTCTCACCGGTCTCGTTTGTGCGGACGCTCCCGCGGTGCATCCCACCGGTTTTCCGGGCGCCAGGCTTTCCGTCGCGGTCGCCATACGAGGTCGTTCCGCTGCGCGGCTCCGACCTGATGCTCACGATATCGCGCGAGTTCGAGGTGGCTCTGTGGGACGCACGAAGCGGTGGGTCACAGGGCGCGCTCTCTGTGCTCAAAGCGGCGTCACGCGGCGGGACCGGGATCTATGCGCGGGTCTCGGTCCATCCTGGGGTCAACGCGATTGCGCTCCTCTCGCACGACGGGCGCTTCTCGCTGGTAGACCTTGAAGCTGGCAAGGTTGTTGTCGATGCGTCGATGATGGTCTCGGCCTCGCAGGTGGTGGCTTACGACGTTGCTGGCGGCGACGTCGCTGTTGTGCTTCAGCGCGGAGTCATCAAAGTGTTTGCGGTCGGCCCGGCCGATGTGGCACTCGCTGCCGAGAGCTACGCCACTCATCGGTACGCTACGCGGGTGGCGCTGAGCGGCAGCCACGTGGTCACCGCTGCACGTGACGATCCTGCTCTACGGGTATGGTCGCGGGCGAGCCAGCGTGTCGAGCGCCGTCTCCGTGGACACACCAAGGCGGTGACCGCACTCGCGCGCTCTGATGATGTGCCTGGTACGGTGGCGTCGGCGTCGGCCGACGGTACGCTCCGTGTCTGGGATGTCGCTTCCGGACAATGTCGGCACAAGGCTGTTCTCGGCCACACCGTCGATCACATTGCATATGACGCCGTGCGCGCCGTGGTTGGTTCCTCGCGCTCGTGCACCATCTCGCTCGTCATCCTTCCGCTCGGCTACGTCTCGTGCAAGCTCCGCTACCCGATGCCGTCCACGTACCGGCCCATTACTTCAATATCGTATTCCGACCGTTGGATTGCTGTTGCCGCCGATCAGCTCCATCTCTGGGCAGTCGATGTGGTGGGGGCCGATGAGGAGGAATTGTTGTGAGTGGTCGCCAGCGCGTGTGATGGCACAGTGAGCCTTTCTCACTTGTGGGCTGCCAATGGCGGTGGCATCATGGTGTGTGCCAACCAAGTGGCGCTCAATGCCAATGAATCCAGCCAGGCCACAGAGTTGAATGATTTGGCATTGGCCAATGTGCGTCCGCCACAGCAGCGGGCGGAAGCGGAGGAGGTGGGGACGGCGACAGCACCTCACGTCACGTCACGGCCACACATACCCACCCACCCACCCACATACCCACATACCCACATACCCACCACCACCATTACCTCCTCCACTTCTTTCTCCATGGCAACAGAGGGCACCCCTGCGGCATCCTTGTCCGCTGCGGCAGGCCAAGCCGGGCCGAGGAGGAGCAGACGGAGGACAACGGCAAGAGGAACAGCGACAGGGACGGCGGCGGGGGCGGGGTCGGCGACAGGGGTGGCGACGGGAACGGGAACGGGGACGAGGACGGGGACGGGAACGGGGACGGTGGCAGGTCGAAGCAAACAAACGGCGGCAGATGGTGGTGTGACAGGTAATGTGACTGTCTCTGGCGACGAGCTTCCGTTCACCGAAGCCATTGTCTACGAGGACCCACATTGGCTAGCTCACGACTCGCCAGGACCAAAGTACTCTCTGCCATCGACGCTCTCTCCCCGTGGTCCTCTCATTGGCTCGTCGGCTCGCCGTAGGATGGCGGCAGAGAACGTCGGTCCCGGCCCGGGTGCCTACCTCCTGCCCTCACCGTTTGATGCTCCGACGCCACGCAGTCTTCCTCGCGCACTCATCCGCTCGGATCTGCCACTCGTCGGGGATGCAGTAGAGGGGGCTGAGAACGAGGAAGGTGGCCATGTGTCACCGCTCGCTCCGCCGTATGCTGATGGGCCGCTCGCGCCGGGCTCGCTGGCCCAGACTCGTGGTCATGGCGGAGCGAATGCCGAGACTGCTGGCAGTACACGGCGTGGGGTGAGTGCAGTGCCGTCAGCCGTGGTCGGCCCATCGTACGCGGCACCGACGGCGTCGTCGAAGATTGCGCTCAACGAGACTGAGCGCAAGCGGGTGGAGATGTCGCAAGAAGCGGCGCCGAACGCTGCTCTGCACGCCACTGTGGCCGGCAAGGGGGCATCGGCCGCAGAGCCGGGCTCGGCGTCGGCGTCGGGCTCCCCTGAGGCCAGCACGACCGGCTCGCCGATGCTGGCGGTTGACACGCCGCCGGCCAAGACCCGGCGGCGAATGTTTGCCGCCCATCGCAAGGCCAAGGAGCGGTCGCCGACCGAATCTGTGGCATCGCTGGCGTCGGCCGCGTCGTCGCTTGCGCCGTTTCTCTCGACCAAGCAGCGGTTTCAGGAAGAGTCGGCCATCGAGCACCACTCGCCGGGGCCCAAGTACTTGCTACCATCGGCGTTTGGACGCGGACAAGCTGCGGCTCTCTCGCCACAGCGGCGCCGGCAGCGGTCGCTTCCGCCAGCGCTCCGCAAGGCAACGACACCCAAGCATCGGCCGGCACCGATGGTCCCGCAGTCCGAATACCCGGCGACGCCCGAGGCGGACGTTGACACATCCAAGCCGGTCAAGGTCTTTGACGTGTACGCCTGCTGCCGCTACCCGCGCTACCCCGCTGCGACAACCGAGCCCAACGTCGTGACGTCGTACTGGGAGCGACGTGCATCCGTGACCGACGGTGAGGGCGGCGGCGGCGGCGACCATGACCAAGGCAACCACCCCCGCGCCCACCACCACTCCCACCACTCCCACCACCATCATGTGACCAAGCCTATTGAGCCGCCGGCGCGATCGGCTGCCGAGGCGGAGCGAGCGCGGCTGATGCGTGAGGGTGTGCGGCGGCCGCGGGTACCAGAGCCGCCGACAGAGACGACGCCGTCGCCGCGGCGGCGGTCTCCACGGCGGCAGTCGCATGCAGCAAAGGCAAGTGCAGCCCCAGGGTCACCGAGGCCACCGGCGAGCAAGTCGTCGCCGCGGGTGCCGAGGGTGACGACCAACACGGCACGGAGGCGGCGAATGCGACGGCAGTCGTCGACGGCGCTGTATGAGGACGACGGGTCGGATGGCGACGTGTTTATCACCAAGCTCTCGATTTCGCGCAACCGCGAGCGGCGGTCGTCGGCCGGGTCACGGGTGTGAAGGACAGTGCGGCAGGTTGTGGATGGGCGTGCGGCTTGGCAGCAGTCAGTTCGAGACAATCGAGTAGCACTTGTCGCAGACGCGGACAGCCTCGGAGAAGCCGAGCGAGAGGAGGGGGAACTTGCGCGAGGAGCACGAGCCGCAGAAGAGACCACCGCAGCGGCGGCAGTGGTGGCGGCGGCGAACAAAAGTAAAGGGCGACTTGCATGCCATGCACTGCTTAGTCTCACCGTCATCGACCCAGCCGTGGACGACCGACGCGGCGGTGTGTGCGCCGCCGCACTCGACGGTGCGAACAACCTTGTCGTTGAAGAGCTCGACAAAGGTAGGCTGCCAGTGGTTGGCCTCGGAGCCGTGGCCGAGGCGACCACCGAGGCCGAGGCCCCAGGTGAGGACCTTGTCGTCGGCCGAGACAGCGGCGACGTGGTCGTTACCCGACGAGATGTGGCGGACGACGAGGCCGTCGGGAAGGGAAACGCGGACCGGACGGGTCTCCTGGACAACGTCCTTGGCGCCGATGCCGAGCTGACCCATCCTGTTGGAGCCGCAGGCGTAGACCGAACCGTCGGCGAGGAGGATGACGGTGTGAGAGGCGCCGAGGGCGACAGCCTTGACGTCGGTGAGGTGGTCGATGAGGGTGGGGAGAAGGGCGTCGGCCTCAGAGCCGGTACCGAGCTTGCCCGACTCGCCGGAACCCCACATGTAGAGCCGGCCGTCGGTGGTGACGGCGGCCGTGTGCGAGACGCCCATGGCGGCAAAGGCGACGGCGACGCCGGCGTCGGCCAGGGCGTCGACTAGCTTGGGCTCGGTGACCTGTGTCAGGTCGCCGTGGCCGAGCTGGCCGTGGTCGGAGCTGCCCCAGGTGTAGAGCGCACCGGCGGCAGTGACGACGGCCGACGAGACGGCACCGCACAGGACCTGGGTCACGTCGAGCGCGCCGGCGGCCGGTACTTCCTTGGGAGTCCGCTTCTTGGCACACTCAAAGCCCAGGCGGCCGTCGGCACCCGAGCCCCAGGCATAGACTGCGTTGCTGTCGGTGAGGGCGAGGGTGTGGGCGTCGCCGGCGGCGAGAGCCACGACCTTGGTCTCGCGGAGCTCGCCAACCATGAGCGGGGTTACCCTATTGCGCTCATGGCCCTGGCCGAGGCGGCCGAACCCGCCGCGGCCCCACATGTAAAGGCGGCCGGCGGGCGAGATGGCGCCCATGTGGGCAGCGGCGGTGGCAAAGGTCCGCACGTCGGTGCCGAGCAAAGCCTCGACCACCTGCGGCACAAGGCGACATTCCTCGTCACCGTGACCAAGCCGGCCAGACGCGCCGTCGCCCCAGGTGTACAGATCCGACGCGTCCTCGCGGCGCTGGACGACCGCAGACTTGCCGCGGACCTGAACGGTGAGCTCCGACGACTTGGCGCCCGAGTCGGCGAGCTGGAGTGCGTCGGTAAGCTCGGGCGAGTCGCCCACGATCCGGCCCTCGACGATAGCCTGCAGCGCCATTGTCCACAGCTGGAACTCGGAGACGTCCTTGCAGATAACGTCCAGCGTCCGCGACGAGGTGATGAGTGAGAACGAGATGTGCTCGTGCTCGATCATGCGGTTGGACGAGAAGACCTTGGTCTTTTGCCCGATGCGGACCTCGTTGACGTCCTCAAACAGGACTAGTGGTGCGGAGTGAATAGTGAGTGGTGCGATGGAAGGGGGGTGGGAGGTGGGGGG